CAGGTGGACAGTCAGCTAGGAACAATTTGATATTTGCAATATCCCAATCCCGAATCGTCAACAGCCTCAAGGCACTTAGATACAGCCTTGAAACCATCGACTTTTCTTACAACCCACGCCAGCATTGACATTCAAAACCATTGTGTCATGAACACCCGGTTTAACTGATGAGTGCAAGGCTTTTACCGCTTTAGAAAGCTAGAACATCTCCAGGCTGTTTTTTGTTGCATTTGCATGATGAGCTTTATGGCCTCCTCCACATCTGTGCAGTTGCTCTTTTGCTGGCTGCATGCGTGCATGCGTCGACGCGTCGTTCAAGCAGGGATCCCTCGAGTTTGATGGGTAGTTTAGAATTGGAAGGTCAGCACAGGAAGCACAGCACAATCACAAAACATTGACCAACAAATGATGAAATGGGGGAGTGCTGTTGCAATAGCAGGAGTCATGAGTTTTTGTTATCCTTTCTGCTCCTAGCGACAGGTGTGGCAGGTGTGGTAAACATCACTGTGAGTGGCTGGCTGCTGTGCACTGGCCGAAGTCGATGTCCTTTGAGGGATTGATATTTTCTTTGAAAAGCAGTTGCTAGAAGCAGGTCTAGCATTGCTCCTTGCTTGCTCATCATTGAAGCTTGAAGATTCCAGCTTCAAGTGAGCACTGGAAATGTTCAGTCACTGTGCTCCCTGAAGCTGGAATGCACTTTTGATTCCCCTCAATTGACCGGCAATTTCGCAGAGCGACGCGACAGCTGCATGAGACAGCATTGTACAGAACCTGCACCACGCCCTCACAGCAAGAAGCGATCGGAAGAGCTGCTGCTAGCCTGTTGAGACCCTCAACATCGCATTCACGGACAAAACATTGATTGGCTTAGCTGCTTGGCGGATTGGCCAATCGCTGTCAGTAGATGGTCCGGACAGACACGTTTGATACTGCTTGAATGCGCATGACATACCAACTTTACAAATCGACACTTAGCAAGGATACGCCACTACTGACACTACTGCTGTCTTTTTGAAGGGGCTCACCATGTACCTCCGTTGCACATGCTTGTCACAAATGCTCATTCAGTGCCTTTTTTAGTACCTAGGATGAGGCTCCGGCATTTTGCCCAGGCCTTGGCCCACAACGAGAATTGCATAGCTTGGCCTACCATGGAGGCCTTTTCGTGGATTCTGCCAACTTGATCAGCATTAAATACGGATGGGTGCTTGGTGCTTTGTTTGTATTTACCGTATGCTCGTCATTGGTATGGATCCAATACCGTTGTCATTGGCTGGGTGCCGATGGATGCATCGCGCTGCCAGCTCTCCAACGTTATATCAATGAAAATCTTCAGTCGGGGGGGGAGTCATGAAAGAGGAGTGGTCAGCGGCTGCCAATTGTTTTCGCGCAGGCCTTGGAAGCAACTCGTGCTTTCCTTTGCTCCGAGGTCTGTCCTGTTTGTTTTTGTTCTTTGCTGTAGCCCTGAAAACGTCAGAAACCATTCTGTCCTCAAGCATGATCAGTTTTAGAAGGGGCTGTTGTCGGTCTCCGCAGGAGTCAAGCTTGGGAGAAGAGGAGTTGGCAATGTGCCCTGCGTTTGGGAGAATACTTCAATTGATGTGTGAAGGCCAGGGTCTCCTTCCTTCGAGAAAGAATGCTTTTCTGCGAGGTATCCTGATGTGGCTGTGTCCGAGGCAGTTTCCATACAGCGTGAGTTGCGGTCGTTGTGGAGTTTCTCATTTCAGGAACTCTTCGGCCAGCTGCCCCTGTGGCCGCCTTTGCCCCAACTTGGCTGAGATTTCCCTATCTCATTCCCAATTTTGCTGGGATTTCCCCAGCGGTAAACACAAAGCAATGGGCATCCTGACTAGCTGACTGGCATACAGCTTTGCAAGAATAGATGGATGATGATAGACACAAATAGAGTGGACTGAGGCCTGGAGTTTGTCCACCTGAGATTCGCAGATGGATGTTCCAAGTGGCCCACATGTTTTGTTTCCTTCTTATTTTTGGTAGAACCAAAATGGGCGGTTTTTGTACACCGTGAGCTTTGCTGAGCTCTTTGCTGAGCCACATCGCCAGGTCTTGGTTTGCTTTGCAGAGGCAGGACAGGGGATAGATGAATAGTCGGACCAATTGATCAATGGAGCAAATATTAAGACATCCTTACAGTGATATACCGCCACTGCACATCATTGCCATGAAAAGAAAGCATGGATGTTTCCGACCACCAAGGGGAGGACACGTGAAGGTGCAACAATGAAAGTAGGGATACAGCGTATGGGCGACCAAACGAGGCGGAAGTTCGCTTGCCGCCAAAGCCTGGAACTGGCGAAGGCATCGCAGTTCGCTTGTCTTTGCATCTTGTCTTTGCATGGCGGCATTGCACATTTGACGCCTGCATTCTTTGACGCCTCAAGGCCAAGGAGCAGAGGCAGCAGTCACTGCCAGGAGGCAGTCACCACAGAATGCACTTTCATGCGTTCTACCTTTGCTTCGCAAGCTGTGTGAAGCCAAAGACTGCAGCACCTCCTCAGCCAAAGACTGCAGGATCTTTGGATACTTTGGCTTAGCGGCTGCTCCAGCAAGAGCCTTTAGCCAATACTGCAGGCTGGGCAGCAAGAACACAACGCTTTTCCATTCCATCCTTATCTCTTTCTCTCGCTCTATACGCGTACATACCAGCAAAGATTGTCCATGATTCGAAAGGATCAGAAGTCTGCAGATGAGCCGTTTAGTAGTTTAGTTCAAAGGTTGTCGACCAAGGCAATTCTGTTGCTCTTATGACTTTGGTTGACATCTTCCAGCGAAGAAGTTTGCATTTTCAACCGTGGTTTGATGCATTTTTTGGCTTTCTCGAGGCTCTTACTGCCTTCAAGCCTTTTCGCTGCCTCAGAAGAAGATGCGCAGCCACAGGTTCTGGTGAAGGACACATGTAATTTAAGAGTAACGGTTGAGTTGGTAGGACGCTCAAGCCTCTTCAAGCTGTAAGCTATGTTCTGCAATGATGCATAGCTCTCGAGGACCTGTGGACAATCCTGTACAGTCAAAAAAACTCGACCACCTGCAATGATTGTGCTGCCCTCAAGCGACCTGTAATCCTGCATCTAGACAAGGGCGAGTTCTGACAACGAGGCGCCTGTGCCTGACCTGGCCACCTTCTGCAACAACCTCTTAGATGAGGAGCCATCAGATGACATGACAAATCAGTTGGCCGTCAAAGTTCTTGCAGGGCAAAGTGCCAGAAGCAGTGCCCAAAGCAAAGGCAAAGGCCAAGGTACGGCTTTGTTTCAGTGCCAGCCATTCAAGTTGGAACTGCGCGACTCTGCGGCTCTTTGAAGGGCAAAGCAAAGCAGGAGGTGGAGGTCCGGCGGTGGTTCTTGAACATTTGCATTTATTCGTGCCTCTCTTTTTGGCATTTGCCATGTAAAGTCGCCCCAAGAATTGAAACTTTCCCGCGGTGTGTATTATATATATGGATGCAGATGGATTCTGGGCTGGAGCACCGTGTCAGGAAGAAGTAGAACCACCAGTCGTACCAGAGGAGGCCACAGTTGTCGGCGGCCTTAGCTGTACTGGGCAGTGGACCGCGACCGCAGCTGATCTCCATCCAGCCATGGGCGTGTCTAACGGGCCCAATGATGACGTTTGTGGGAACGTTGTCGCAATCTCGGTGTATGATCTGTTGCTACTGTATCCACTGGAATCCTTTGTTGCTCCTTGAGGGCCATATATAAAATTTGGAACTAGAACTCACAAGTTGCCACTGTTTGACAAGAAAAGTGCCGCAAGCTAATGAAACTGCGAAACAGACCTTCAAATGTCACCAACCATCTTCAACCCAATTTGCGGAAGAGCTGTCGGTCCCATCGGCCACATCCAAGGCATTCTCCGAAGAGGTCTTGCTTTCGCGGCAGACGGTACGCCACTGTCGTTGGCTTCGTTTTGGCATCGTTTCATCGTTTCGCTCAGAAAACACTCAGATAAGCACCAGCGTTTTGGTCGGCTTTTCTTTTAGATTTGGTTTGGAGCCAGTGAGCCCGAGCCAGCACACCCTATCTCAAAATCATTGAGGTCATGAAAAGCCTTTGCAGTCACGGTGGCTTGTTATGTCGAAGACGTGGCCTGGAGACACTCTTTCCAAGTGCAGGCAGTGCTCCAATGAAAGCTGTGAGTCAACCGGCAACTTGCAAGTCTCGTGAGCCCATGATGAGTGAATTGCCTGACTCGGACCCAGCTGCACAGGCAGTTTTCAGCTCAAAACCGCGGCGGAGGCTTTTGCTTCGATTCGAAGATTCCCTCAACCATTCCGATCGGCAGGAAGCAATTTAGTGCAGAAGTACTCTAGCCTTTCAAGTTTGTTTTTGTATGCGAGGTCGCCACGGAGAATAGAGATCCCACATTGGGCCCGTCCATTTTCAGTCGAATATCACCCGGCGCCAGGCTGCTGCACTGAAGGAGTTGCAATCCTTGGTGCCTGAACCAGAGGTGCCTGAAGCAGAGGCCGGGTTGGTTTGGGATGCTTGGATGGCCTTAAAATTCACTCATGCCAGGAAGAGGCAGCAGAAGCCTCCTAGAATCCTCCTGAGAACCGCCAGAAAGTTTCACAAGCAGACTGGTTTCTTTTGCAAACACGTGATTTTGTTGAACAATCGCGATAAGACACATCTGCATTTCGACACCAGGGCCAGTCATCAATTTGACACTAAGCATTCTCCACAAAGCATGCATTACTCAGAATGTGCAGAAGCCGCCGAACGGTGCGATTCTGTTTGCCAAAGCAAAGAGATGCTGCGCGATTCTGTGATTGTTTAGGACTATATAAGTTGTGAGATGTTGTGGTCAAATTAGGAGAATAACTGACCCTTTGTGATCCCGTGTAAAGGTCGGCATGATCATCCACTATGTGCTGTATACGTTTCTCGATCAGTGTTTGGTGTGCAAGGTGGCCATTTGTCTCGAAAGCTTCTGCAATACTTTTTATCGCAATGGTGTTGACTCAAGAGCAAGAAGCTGAGATGAAAGAGGCCTTCCAATTGTTTGCTGGTTTTGAAGGCAAGGAGAAGATTGAAGCGACTAAACTGGGCGTCCTCTTTCAGTCCCTGGGGATGACTTTCTCCGATGAGGAGCTTGCAGCCAAGACAGAAGAGATAGCTCGAGACAACGTGATCTGCCTCAAGGATTTTCTGGCTTTCATGGATCGGAAGATACAAGAAGATGAAGAGAATGATGAGGAAGAGCTTCGACAGGCTCCCGCCTGGTGAGTGAGCGAGCCCCCCATGCATCAATTGTTGATTTTGAGAAGGAAACAGTAGGGAATTGGCTAGAAGCGCTTAGGAAGCATGTGGAGAGACTCTTTTGTCATGGCCCGGTGGTCAAGTTTTTTTTTTTTTTTTCGATCAAGCCGATGAAGCCGTCGACATTTTCATCATATCTATGCCTGTCCTTCATTTCGGCACACCACACCACTGTCCATCCCTATAGACGATGGACACAGGCCTTCAGAGTCATGGACAAGGATGGTACAGGCTTTATTGACATGAATGAGATTCGTCACATCATGCTGGATCTGGGCAGCAAGTTGGAGGGGGGGCAAACATTGCTATCCTGATGAAGAGTATGCGCATCGTGCGCATCGGGCGGAAAAGGGTGACTTGGAGAAGTGAGCGGTCTTGCCTACTTGGGGGAATTGATGTTGTATCACCTTCTTTCCTCGAGGAACCCGTATCTACTGTAAGTGGGGGGATTTGAACCATCCATTTTGCTCAATCCTTTGACTTTTGAGCATGCAGCCTGATTGGTTGCTCAGGTGACGAAGTAAAAGGTCCTCAGCTGATCAATTTTGAAGAGTTCAAAAAGATGATGTCGTTTCAGTGAGGGGAGGTTTTGACCTCACCTTGAAATACCTGTCTCTCCAGTGGACTCCCGTGTCTTCAAATATTAGTGTCTCCTTCCAGGATCTAGGCCGCCTTGGCCTCACCTAGGGGTGAGCTGTAGCCCTTGGACTCCAGGGCAGGCGACCTCAGCAGCACCTCACCGTGGGACTGGGCACATGTACAAAGGTTATCAACCTGCAACTTAACCCTGCATTCGATCTCCACATCGCATCTTCCCAAAGGGAATCCTTGTGCTGGACATGATCGGTCAGCAGGTTGCAGAGAGCCCAAAAGATTGGAAGACGGTTGAACGTTGGCCGGACCATTGGCATCATGGAAATACTTTGTATCGTCTCAAATTTGCCAATCGCCTTTGCTCAAGTGATCAATAGATTGTGCATAGGCTTTATGTAGTCGCAGCCAGCATGAAGAGTGCTGGTCAGTGCCAAAAGAGACATGCTTGTGCCACCAAACAAGCGACATACTGGACCCCATGCGTCCCTCGTTTCACAGACAAACATTCATCGAAAAGGTTTGGTGAGGATAATGCATGGAAGATGGAGCGTGTGCCACGCCTGCAGAGGCTTGCTTTATGCCACAATCAATGACGATGCTTTGTTGACTAGGTGATAGACCCGACCATCTCTCTTTCCCTTTCTCTCTTCATAGAGTTGCTTGTGCTGCAGTGCTGCTTTTGGCAAACGCACCATCATGTCCTCCTATTTCAGACAAGAGGATGCATGTTCGAAGATGTCACCAAACACAGGCCATACACGTAGGCAAGTACGTGGAAGAGTACCTCCTTGTTTCTGGCACTAGCTCCATGGCCGCCGTGAGGCGTTCTCATGCTTTCGAAGTCACTTGCTCGAAGTGATGGGTAACAACATGCGCATCACAAGCCACATAAGTGTTTCCCCACAACACTGCGCATAGTTTGTGCCCATGTGCTTTCTGCAGCTTGTCACACAGCCAGTACATACATGTTCTTCTCACAACCTTAGACTCGTCTAACGAGTCTAACATCGACCCTCGGCTTCTCCAGCCAGTCGAACGACCTAGCGACCAGGTCGAAACACTGCAGGTGGGCCCCCGCCACAAGTCCCGCACCTGTTTGCCCGGACGTCTCCGTGGGCGCCACACAGAGGCGGCAGTGCGCGACGCAGTGCGCATGGATCAGCCGCTGCTCGTGGGGTGCGCCGCAGCCGCCAGGGTGCGGAGTGTCATATGAAGCCATTGACCTACTTCCGCTCGAGACCTCTGCATCGGCCAAGTGGCATGCAGCGGACATGCTCCACAGGATCGCCACACGCCACATGCCTGGCGATGAGATCTATAGCATTGCATCGCGTTCGCGTGCGATTCCATCCTGGCAAATTGCTACAGAGGCTTTTTGGACTGCTGACCGCCCCAAACTTCCTTGAAATCCTCGATCATCCAAACGTTCTTGAACATCCTTAAGGCTCAAGAAAGACACATCTATATATATATATATATTATGTATTATCTTATTTTTTCCTTGATAAAATGCTTCCTGCCATTTTTGACAGGTCACATGCATGGGCCCATACTACCATGATTATGTGCTGGTCACAACTGCTGACAATCTGTGGGTGCATTCCATGGGCACCTTTGCGCTTGCAGGACAAAAACCACTTGAGTGCTATACACGGATATGTTTATCCCGAGTTCAGTATGAATACTTCTTGCTTTTAGGTAGCCCGCCACCGAATGTTTTAGACATCAAGATGGGGGGGCGTGGGCTAAAATCAAGTGCACACTGTATTGCGTGAACATGTTTCTTACTTGCAGGATTTGTTGCTGTATTGAAGCGCATTTCTTGGTGGCACTCATCGGACATGGCGTGAATCGTTCCAACTCAAAGATTGTTTCTATGTCAGGCTTGACCAGACGCTTTCTCAATCGGCGTGCTATGCCCAGATTGCAGAAAGACAGACGGTTTCTCGCGCGTACTGTATTTGCGCATGGCCCAGGATGGGCTACCAAAGCTGTAGCCGCCGTCTTCCACGAAGTTGGAAAACCGTTTGAGCTGCGAGAGGCAGGATTTCATCATTCCGTATTCCAAACACATCGAGACATGAAAAAACAACACTTAGTTACCAGCCTTTTAATAAGTCTTTTGACCTCAGCCTGATCAAAGCTGTTTGTTCACTGATCAAGTGCAAGACAATGAGAAAGGGGTTCGTCGCAAGGGTGCCCAGGGAACCAGGTCTTGGTTTCCAAAAGAGAAGGTCTTGACAAAGTTCTCCATAGCCAGTAAGGCGAGCAGAATCTGTCGTTGGACAAGGTTGCGATCCTAAATCATGTGCGACAACCGTGGGCTGTGAGGAAAAGGTGAAGGCACGGCTTGTAGAAATACTTTGTTCTGGGATCCATCAGGCAGTTTGCGTGCCATGCAAAGGCCCTTGGCACAGACGAACGTCCACAGAACAAAAAAAACATGCCCCCCGCCACACACCCACACACACAGAGCAAAAGATGTGGTTTTGTTTGTTTGAGCCAGATCCTGGCGTAAATGCTTATATAGACTTATAGAACCATGCAGACTGTTTGCTGTCCTGCGCCATTTGCAGCAGACCCTTTCAACAAGCTAGCATCCAAACAAGCAAGCAAATTCTTGTCATGCAGATTAGCGCACGTGGATGTTGATTGCATTTTTCCCACTCCATATCTACAGTATCTGCTTCCTGCAAACGAATCGGGCGCGAACACACACAAGTGAGATGTTGCCGTTGATCGCGTCCTTCGATCTCATTTGTGCTGTCAGATCCCTCTGCCAGAGAAGCTCAACGAGGGTGAACTGCTGGTCCGGATGGAGGTGTGGAATCTTGTCAGGTCCATGGCTGTGGCTTGATATGTGGCGATTGTAGCATGGAGTCATGGAGTTACAAACGATCGCTACATGTCAGGTAGCTACGATCTGTGGGAGTGACTTGCATACAGTTCGCCTCCCAGCATTCATGGCGAGGTTTGGCAAGGATGAGGTAGCTGGCAGCAACATCTCTATATATATATATATATGAGGAGTTGTAGAACTTTACATCGAGTCACACACACACATACACACATGTAGAGTAGTTAGCTGTAGACACAGCTACAGCGGCAGAGGCATGACATTTGATGCTTGGACTCTGAGAGGTGAGTGGCAAAAGACAGGAACCAATGCCTCTTGTGCTGGGACATGAAGGTGGGTTTTCTGAAAGACTGGTTCAGGACCCCTGCAATCGACGTGACTATATGAGGGCTCAACTATTTCAGAGACTGCTTCAAGTTGCAAGGCGTTGGTGTGATTGAGCGAGTGGGCTCGGATATTTTCAGTGGCAACCGTCCAAGGCGGGAGATTACGGGAGAATGCCTGAGTGAACACGTGTGAACACTGTTCACCTCATTCTGAATTCTTGAAGAGAGATCCAAATTCCATGCGTGTGGATGGTGTGGCGTGTGGTGGATGGGTGGTCACTGGGTGGTGCTTTGATGAGTGGAACGACCAACCACCATGAACGCAAAGAACAGCGGTTGTGACCATGGTACTGGCGGCAAGTGAAAGTCGGGCCTCAAAGGACAGTGGTGAATGTGGTGAGAATGAGTTGATGACCAGATGCGGAGAACGTTTGACCAAAGGGGGGCTCCCGAACGCTACGAACGTAACAAAGGGCATCGCTACTAGGAACAATGGGGCAAGGAGTAAGTGAGGCCCGTACAACGACGGAGTTTGAACAGTTTCTTGGCCAGGCACCGCGGATGGAAGCTGCGAGAGGGCGACCGAGTGACCTTCAGCGTCGCAGATTCGTGTGGGCTTTGCCCCGAATGTACGCTGCATAAGTCAGCACCTTGAGAAAACCCTCAGTTAAACGCCCAAGAACCATGGAATTGTCCGAACAAGACTTTGGAGCACCAACCTGTTCCTCTCTGCCAGAAAAATGAGGGTCACCTTGGTCACCTGCAACAATCCATGCTCGCATGACTGAAACACTCAGGCTGCCTCAGAAGTGTGTCTCCCTGATGAAGTGCGCGAGACAGGGGCCGCGAGACAGAAGTGGCCATGGACATTTTCCAGCCAGTCTTTCGGACCTGTGCACGTTTTTCGGCGTTTGCAAATTGTTTGCAGGTATGGCCATGCTCGGATTTCAGAAGGAACCGGCCTCAATGGGACGTGCGCAGGGGCCAGGGTTGACTGGAGCCCCTGCACCTGCACTTTTTCTTTTTTGGTTCTTCAGAGCCAAACGAACATCAGCCAAGTGGTCCCAACCCAACAACCTCATAGTGCCTGAGTGAACAGATATTATCCATATTTCAATCGACATTACCCTATTGGGTGGTAGGGCTGGCTTGGAGCATGCCACCTTTACACTTTGTCAAAGACAACTGATGGATTCAGGTACGCCACCCATATTCTGCTCAGACCAGGGACTGGGGCAGTGCGGAAACGTCAATTGGGTTCGGGAGCAATTTTGTCCCAGTGTAGAGCCTCAAAGCCCTTGTGTGCTTCAATGGCATTTTTCAGAAGTTGGGTCCACACCCTTCATTACATTGGATAAATCAACGAATCCGAATCTCATTTCGGTTGGAGGCCATTGCTCTTAGGTTGGAGGCCATCGCTCTTAGGTTGGAGGCCATCGCTAATAGGTTGGAGGCCGTGGCTAGTAGGTTGGAGGCCATCGCTCTTAGGTTGGAGGCCATCGCTCTTAGATCGGGGGCCATCGCTAGTAGGTTGGAGGCCATCTCATTTAAGGTGCCATGACCCCATGGTCCAAAAAGATGAGATTGGGCTGTGAGGACGCATGCTGTTAAGCTGCCCAGCAAGCTCAGCTCTCGAGTACGGAGCCAAGCAGACGACCAGCAGCTCCAAGAGAAGGAACCGCTTGTGATAATACTGTACAAGACAAAGATATTGACAGGGACGCATACATGCAAGCGCTACAAGATATGCCAGCAACCGATATACATCAATATACCATGTACTCAGACTTCTGTAAATTGCTTGCAGCAACGGCGTATTGCGGCGGCGGTGGTCCACAATGCAAGACCTCTAACCCACACAGCAAACTGAGTACTGAGTACTCGAAGTTGCTGAAACAGTGAAGTCCTTCAAGGATCAAGTTAGAAGGCTTCAAACAACAGCTTGCCAAATGCACACCAGACCAGGAACAAAACCTTCAAAGACTGAAGTCGAAACCCCAATGACCACCGAGCTTTCAGATCACCACCCACACGAAATCAAAGATAGACCTTTTCAGATTTGAGATGTTTAGAAGCCAATGAACGAGGTACGTGACCTTTTCTGGCAACAACTTGGGTCCTTCCTAGGTCATAGGTATGCCAAACGATATTGGCAAACCAAGTCCGATGGATGGCACGGAGCAGAATAGGAAAGTCAGGTTGCTGCCAGAGCTGTCAATGGTTGGAGTCAGAGCAACACAGTATGTTTTGAGCCACGAATTCAACATGTGAAACCAGATGACTCCAAGGCCGACTGATACACACATCGTGAACTCCATGCGAGACACACTTCGTGAACTCCGCCATGTTCTGCCGACTGAGATTTGTGCACCGGCCAACTGTGCCCTGGCCACGGTGGTGAATGCGCTTGACATGGCGAGGCTCCCGAGGCCGAGATTTGCAAAGACAGTGTTCTATTTTTTTTTGCAAATGCTTTCCAAGCCTAAGGATATCTGAACCCCAAAGGTACCAGACTTCTCAAAGCACTAGTAGGTGTAGTAGGTGTGTCGATTGGTGCTTGATGTCCCACAAGAGTGGTGTTCATCAGCTCTGTTTCATGACCCCCACTGATTGCAGAGGTATGGCTCCAACAAGAGTGCAGTTGTCCAAGGACACTTGCGGACCATGTACCACTTGCCACTACAACTTGTCAGAGAGAACTCATGAAGACCACAAAAAAACTTGTGAACAACCCAATGTTAGTTGTACCTACTCACCATGGCATGCCGTGGCAAATGACAAGCACCCCTCGACCTGCCCCAAACAGCCTATGGAACTGGTGAGTTCGAGTCATGCTGTTCAAAGAACTCGGTGCATCAAGGAGTTGGACTGCTGGGGATTTATGCCGTGGCATGGCTGAGAAAGCGTGTTGGCATGGACACGTGAAGACCTCAGCTGGGGATTGACGCGGCACAAAACGCACCTCTGCATTTTTCGAGTCAGGTGGAGTCTAAAAGTTAAGTGACATATTTCATTTGTCTGTGTTTTCCAGTAGCCAGAGCATCACTGAGATTCTTTCCAGTCTTTCGGGCTCCATGTTTGTGGTTCGAAGATCCTCTGGTTGCTTGAAGATTTCACACAGTTCACCCTCTCACGAGATGCTTTCCACATTGTGGGATCGCGCCTTTTCACTGGCCCAGTGTCTTCTGCCTGGACACCCAGCCAGAGCGCTTGAAGACTGCGGAGAGGTGCCGTGAGAGATACGCATGGAGGTAGTTTACCAGGGAATCTCCGGCGGGGATTGGGGGGTGGACGTTTACCATGATTTATATACCTGTAGGATATCTTGGTGTCTTAGCGTGACTTGCAATGGGACGATTTGATGTGCGATGCAGTCATGTGGTGATTTGGTGAGGGGATCTGTCATGTTATGACTTTCCGTGTTGTCATGTCTGATGTTGTGAACTGCAATGCGGTGAGCGGATGTGAGCGGTCATGTTTTTTTTTCTTTCTTTTTTTCAAGTGTACTGTGGTGATTTGGCAAGTGATGACTTGTGATTGTTTGAAATGTAAGTTGGTCAGTTGGGCATTGGATATTTGGCATGTGTGATGTGCTTGCAGCCCTTCGACAAAAAGCATTTGTCAGCCCTGGAAGTCCGCTGATTCGAAGTTGCCCTAAGGACACCTCCTTTGACTATGTAGATAGATGATCTATGTCTTTTGCTCCACTGTAGATTCACAGCAAAACTGTGCAGTCCGAGTTTTGCCAAGATCCTTTGGCGCCTGGACATCGTGTGGGCCGTTTCCGCTCGGTGTCGACCGACAGGTTCGGAGGAGTTCCGCTGCTGGTCACTGAAAATGAGGAGGCTGGGTAAGCTTGTCGCGACATGTTCACAAACTCTTTTATTTGGATTTCCAATTTGCAATTTACAGTAGCATGCTGTAGGGGAAGCACGACAAAACCTGAGACAGCTATTTTCTGCTGTATATCCATCCCATGCTTGAGCACAGACCTGAACATCTCGTTGGCTCGTGTGCCGTCCTCGACGAGAAAACGATTTTAAGAGAGTTCTACAGTAGGCTGAACAGCATCGATAGCACTGAGAGATTTCAGTTCCATCGGCTGAATATCTTTATACTTCATATTACCAAAGTAAGATTTATTCAACTTGATTCCAATTCAGCGGATTTCACTGGCAGGACTACCTGGAGCGTTCACGCACTATCCGTGAGATGTACCCGCGAGGGGTTGATGTGGCTGTGGAGATGACCGGCGCCAAACATGTGATCCATGAGGTGGACAGTATTTATGTTTCAGAAATGTTAGAGAAACCTTGTATATAGTGGTTGACAAGTGGCAAGTCCATTTCTTTCACGAAGGTGACGCTTATGCGCACTAGACTAGATGAAGATCCAGTTTTGGCAGGGGGTGCAGCTCCTTCGAAACGGTGGACACTATTCCTTCACTGGGATGGTGACCTGGCAAGTTAGCAGGGCAGGAGCAGACGCCTTGACCGTTCGATCCGAGTTGTCTTTGGAGCTGTGCCCCAATGGTCTGATCACTTCGTCCTTGCTCCTAGTAGCTTCTTGCTTCTAGTAACAAGGCCAGGAGCCCCTTGTAGCGTCCTTGCTCGTAGTAACGATGCCAGGAGCCCCTAGTAGCTTCTTGCTTCTAGAGTTTGCATCAGAAACACACAGAGCCATGCACCCGAGCCATTTAACCACACAGAGCTATGAGATTTCGAGGTACATCCGGATTCCCAGCTGTCGTCACTCACAGGGGAGACGATCATCAGAAAGGCACAGCCCCGACGATCATGAGATGGTTGCTTGGCAGTTCGTTCCGAGTCTCGCTGTGTCTCGCCATCTCGCCAGTGCCTGACCATCCGTGGGGTGCACAACTACACACCATGGAACTTAGAAGAAGCAGTTGGGAAGCTCAGGAGGTTTCATCCAAGTCCAGTAAGTCCGAAGTACATCGAAAGAAGCTCCTTTTGGACCATGCAGGACCTTTGCTTGGCATGACCCTCCTCCTCCATCCTCCTCCTGCTCCTCCCCTGACCCTCCAAGGTGAAGTTTCTAGATGAGTTCCGAGAAGAGTTGCCATTGGAATCCGTGCTATCACCAACGAGCTGCTCGTCCAAACACGAGTCGACATTTCAATCTACTTTAACTTGCAACATGTTTGCTTTCTCAAACTCAAGACCTGCCACTTCAGAGGCACACGCTGAGACTCTTTCTGATCTTTCTGTCTCACTTTGTGCATCGCCCAGGCTACAAGCTTTCCGAGATCAATGAAGCCTTTGCAGAGGATCGTGAGCGACAGTCTTCAAGAAGATACCGACAAAGAAAACATGGAACCTGATTCTAAATAAGAAAACAAAAACAAATAAATAAATAACGTATATTTATATCCTTTGATCCGGTTATTGCTTTCAGGCGCAGACAGGTTCCTACTGCCGAGTTGTGGCATCTCCAGCATGTTGCCAGTTGAGTTGCGATGTTTCTACAGTTTAGACTTGTTTTAGGTGTTTTTTACTTGTTTTGGTACGCGTTGGTCGGTTTACTGTAGCTGCAGAGTTCTTCTCATTCATTCCGGCCACAGGTGAGTTGCCAGGACGTTTCATGATTCCTCGTCACCTCGTCCATAATTGGAGCCGAGGGGTGGTTCAGAATGCAGCCGTGCAACGCGAGTTGCAGGTGCAATGTTGTTTTGCTTTCAAAAATCGCACTACCAATCAAAGAATGTGCGAATCTTCTCTTGATTACAGATAATGTGCCAAACGCACGAAGTGGATATGAATGTACATAAGTTGAGATGGTTCCACTGCCTGCAATCGGTGTACAGAAAACTGCAGGCCATTTGACTTCAGACCATCATCGCCGGCAAAGTGCGTGATGTCTTTGCGATCAAAACTGCTTGGTCGACATGGTTTGCCAAGATTCTATGTTGGCCGTTGAGTGCACCTCATAGGTCCGCAGATTCAGGATCAAATGAAGGACAGACGGTCGTCCCGGTGGTGGATGGAGTTGGTTCCAATGGATGCGGAATAGCCGTTTACTAGTCATCCTCTTGGCCAAGGCCTTGGCTCAGAAGCGGTTCCGCTCTCTTCAGGAGGTCACTGCCACCAGCAGTACCTCCACAGCGACCACCACCAGTGACCCCTGCATACTGGCACAAACTGCATGTGACTGTGCAGATGGTGGAATCTGTGGATGGAGTGCCTTCGCTGATGGAGGTGGTATTTGCCATAATCGAGGTAGACCTACGGAAATCGATTGCTTTCTTTGCGAGAGGCAGCAGAAATGTGCTTCGACGATGTGCCCTCAAATGGACAATGCCTGCACCTGTGCAGCAGCTGCGGGTTGTGCTTGGGACATGGGTTTCGGTCAATGTGTCGCTTCCACCGAAGCCACGGACTGCCGTGCTTGTCCCTCACGTGCGGGGTGTGACTTGGACCCACCGGTGCTCTTCCAGAATGGCTTCAGCCCTGCGAATGGAGGCCGACGGCCGGACAGGGAACAAACACGAAGCGGACAGACTGCCCGACCGGACTCCTTTTTGTCGAACATTCACGCACGAAGATGAAGAACAGATGTGATATCAGATTGGCTAAATGAAATTCATCTCAAGTTGTAGTGTCGTCATCGTGCAGAGAAACATGCTTCTTTTTTGCTGCCAAGTGTGACCGTTGCAGGCTCCCACAGCTCCGGCTCTGATCTGCGGATTGTGCATTGCTCAGTCGACATGGCGAAACAATACGAAACATAGAGGCTGAACCAGGCTTATACTCGTATCAGTTCTGGTATGGAACATGCCTGGGCTTCATGGAAAGACCTGGAATCATTGGTCACATCGAGGCAAGTTCACTGATCGGCCCAAGGTGTAGCTGATTTGTTGACGGTTGAACGGTTGTAACTAAAGAAAACTAAAAATCTATGCCGGACGTTGATTGAGCTACTGGAAGAAATGGCGGACAGAGGGTCCTGGCCTACGCCTTCTGAGGTCTTGCAGTTTAACAAGGTAGTGACCTGGTGTCCTGGCACCGTCGGGGACGATGCAAGCTTTTGGTGCTCTGGAACTGATTCTCGACGCAAAAGACGCTCGCTTCGAGCGGGGACGCTGCTCGCTTCGCATCGCTTCGCTGTTTCGAGTTTTGGTGCGAAGTGAGCGGCTCCGGACCAAGCGCCACGACGGCTCCGGATCAATTAAGCCTTGAGAATTTCAGCAATAACGTATTTGCTTCAATAATCTTCAATCACAAACACACTAGAGTCACTAGAGCTAAACTGTTAAGTTTTCCTAAAAAGTCTTGAAACCAAATCATTAGTGCGAGCGCTACTTCAAGGCAGCTTCCCCCGCCGCCTGCGTCCTAAGTAGTAGCTACTTAAGCTACTAGCTACCTCTTCTGCTAGCTACCTAGCTACTACCTCTACGGCCTACCCCCCCGGGCTGTAAACCAAAAGTGTATAGCTTATACTTGATTTTGCACAGCGTCGACCCTTTTTGTCGAAAACACATTCTCACGTTGGAACAAGCGGCCCATCGGGAGTCGGAGTACTTTTGGACCTTGAGCTTCAGGTCATGGACGAGGTGGTTCCACGGACGTTCCTCGGAGAGTTTTGGTTGGCCTTTCCTAGCTCCACTTCAAGCTGCTGAGTTCCTGACCTCAGGTACATGCAGTTCTCCACTGCATCCTTGACCATTGATATGTCTTGGTACTTGTCTCAAGTAGCTCTGGAAAGCGAAAGGCCGGTCTTGTAGAGGGGTCAGGTGGGTTTACAATTTCCTGCCGCTGCCGTAGGACCTGTGGCATTGCCATTGGCATAGGAAAGATTTGCGACGAGGAGAGGGTGCACCCAAATGGGAAAAACACATGAAGCCAATATGACACCTCTCGAAACTTACCTTGTCATTGTCCTACTGTCTTCTAGGACAACATCGCCTTTGGAGGACTACCGAAGGGCGACTACAGGCTTGTTCGCCAGCGGAGCCAGACATTCACAACTTTCAGTCTCAGACGTTGGTGACATTTGGTGACGCGAAATGTAAAACTAATCAAAGCTCTGAAAGCTCTGAAAGCTCCACAGCTCCAGAGCCAGACGTGCCAGCTCCATGCCAGTTTCCAGCTACTGGACGAAGTCGGCCCCACTCTGGTGAACTTTGATCCTGACAGCATGTCTGTCCCTGGGATGCGTTCAGACTCAGTCACCTAGGGGGTCTGACCTCAGTCATCATGAGACTGTCCATTGTCATAAAAACCATTTGCAGGAATACACTATACTATACAATTAAATCTGCTTGTCCATGTTCTAACAAAAATAATGATTCAGGTGGCAAAAAGACCAGTACTCTTCCGAAGTCAGAAAAAAACAGTTCTTTCGGGAAAAAACACCGTGGCCGGAGCTCTTCACCCGTCCCACTCAGGTCCCAGTGCCGCTGGACGGCTCGGTGAATCTGCTGTGGAGTGAGCCGATTATCCTGACGCTTGGCGAACGAACTGCAACGGTGACAGAGCAGCAGCTATGACTATGGCAACTATGGCCAGCTAGGTATTGTACCGAGTCTTTGCCAGTCAACATTTGAACACATGAGAAGAACTCTGACCAGAACTTAGCCATCCGACCATTCAGATTCATCACCCGTTCTTTTTCAGCAGAAGGAGGTCCTTTTCAAATCTTTTCAATATTTCACCACTAAATTCTGTTTGTTGGTCGAACAATATGCTTGAAACACTTGCAGTCGTTCTTGACACCCACTTTGGCACACCGCTGTGATGATCCGTTTTGTCTCAAAGTGGAGCCGTTTTGGAGGAATCCTGCTCGGCCACAAGCAGAGTTAAGCAGGTTGGAGGCTGGCCATCCCCTCAAACTTCTTGAAGCTTGCACAGCAGACGGTAGACTGGGTTCTGAGATGAATCTGCCTTTGAACGATTCGGACTACTCGACGGCAGGTGGACAACACGGGTGCGACCACCGTGGTACAGAGCTTTTCCATCCCGCTGAAGGCCGAGAGATGTGACTCTAGTAGCGTTCCACTTGTTACTGGGTAGCGTCCCGTGCTACTAGCAGTAAGGCCAGGAGCCCCTAGTAGCGTCTGATCGCTCCTAGTAGCGATGCCAGGAGCCCCTAGTAGCGATGCCTTTGCTCCTGTTTGTGTTCTAATCCAAGCAGTTGGTGATCCGTTGATGTGACTCCTGTTTGCACTCTTGGAGGAGCCCGAAGCGGAGATCATCTCATCTTCCCTGCTGAGGATTTATTTGAATGGCCTCCTCAGGTCTTTTGTCTGTCATGGTACACGGAAAGTCCATAGGTATGGTACTGAATTTGTCAGACCACGAGCCAGTTTCTATGACTTTGGTCTTTAGCTTCAATTCTGAGAACATTCGAGACCTCATCGCCCAAGGGTTTTTGTTGGTTGCAGTCCATTGAGTCTGCAGACGATCGCGACCTTCAATACATAGTAGTATACATGTGTTGACCGCAATGACCAATCAAGCTTCCTTTGTCAAATGGTCGAATTCACGCCGCAGTTCTTCAACAACTCCAAAGCAACCTGCGCACATTGGTTTGTTTTTATGTTTGTTGTAAGCACTCCGATTGCATTTGCATCCTGCTCCTAAGATCTGGCAAGATCTACACCCTGCAGCTCCCAAAGGGTGCAGTGACGGACTGCAAAGATGAATCTGGGAACATGCCGTGAAATCATGTGAACTGGCATTGAGATCCAACTCTGCACTAGTCAGGCGTAGGCCGTCTTTGTTTTACTAGAGTATAGGACCCCCAGCTGAGTCCCTAGTTAGTCCATTTGAAGAACTGTCTGAGTTTGGCAGGACTTGGCTGGAAACTTGGGGGGAAGGCCTTCCTGCACAGGCCTTCAATTTCCGCGCGGCAACTGCAGGAACGGTCCCATCGACCCAAGTTCCAACCAGTAGCAATGCTGTGGGAATCGTGATCTTGGTTGTTTGCGTGACTGTCTTTTGCATCCTCGCGGGCGGGATTGGGCTGGTGAAGCTCTGTCGCTCACACGCGGATGCCTTACATAGCTTTATGCCAAAGATGCCTAAACCAAAAGCACGCAACCCAAGCCGTGCAGTGGAGCCTTCCCAAACGGACACCAAAGCTCAATTTGCAGCAGTCGCTGCTGCAGCAGAGAATGCTGCGTACCGTGCGGCTGCCGCAGCCGAGCGCTTGCGCGGAGACGATGACACAAAGCCTGCCACAAGTGCAAGTGCTTCGTGGGCGCAACGACCGAGCAAGGCTCCCAGCGCAAACCCAAAGGCTGGACCCAAAGTTCATCCAGAGAGAGATGGCTTCAATGCTGGCCGTGCACGGAGATCAACGGCGCCCACTGGAGAGAGCCAAGGCCAGGCAGAATCTCTTGCACAGCACTTGATTTGTGCTCACCTACTATGACATGTGAGTATGAAACCTTCTATATACTTCCCCTTATGTCAATCTCTTACCTACTAGGTCTTACTTCATATCACTTGCTGCAGGCCCGGGACATGGGGGGCAACGAAAGCAACAAGGCTCCTCCGCCGGAGAGCAACTTGCCTCCAGAGGCCGGACGGGCCTTGTCACGTGGTGTTCATGCAGGTTCAAGAGAAAGTACTTCCGCATGTCTTGTTGTTGTTGTTGTTGTCGTTGTTGGGAGAAACGAAAGCTGCGGCCCAACATAGTTGTCACATGTTGTCACACGTTGTAACTCTGGAACTTCAATGGGACATGGTTAGGGATACGGTAAAAGCTTTGAGGGAATGTTGATTTCGCAAGTAGCTGGAATTGTTTCACTGAAGTCTGGGCTGGCTCCTTTCTAGTGTTTTTGAGGTGTTGTTCTGGGCGGGCAAGGGTAGAGACAACAACACCTTTTGAGCGTGGGGTGCAAGAATGCAACAGTGCGAGGTTCCTATATGTAGATAGCTAGATAGATAGGCAAGTAGGTAAGTAAGTAGAATAAGTAGTAGTGGTAGTAGTCGTCGTCGTTGTCGTCGTCGAGGAGTAGTAGTGGTGGTGGTGGTAGTAGTAGTAGCAGTAGTAGTAGTGGTGGTGGTGGTGGTCGTGGTAGTAGTAGTAATAGTAGTAGTAGTAGTAGTAGTGGTAGTAGTGGTAGTAGTGGTAGTAGTGGTAGTAGTGGTAGTAGTAGTAGTAGTAGTCGTAGTAGTCGTAGTAGTGGTAGTGTGGTAGTGTGGTAGTGTGGTAGTGTGGTAGTGGTTGTGGTAGTAGTAGCAGCAGTAATAGTAGAAGTAGTAGCAGTTACGACAAACTACTACTACTACTACTGCTACTACTACTACTACTAGTACTAGTACTAGTACTACTACTACTACTTCTACTTCTACTTCTACTACTTCTACCTCTACCTCTACCTCTACCTCTACTTCTACGACGAAGACGAGGACGACTACTACTACTACACCTGCAAATGCAAGTGCAAGTGCCAGTGACAGTGCCAGTGCTGGCTGAGGGGGATCAAAACTACCGCGGGGCTGCAGCTTTTGCTTCTGGAGGGGGTAGAGACAAAGTAAGATGTGTGTTGACAGTGACAGGGCTGCAGTTTTGATTGTACCTTGCTGTTGCTGCTGTATACTTTTTTGGTATGTTTTAATACTCAACTACTATAATACAGTAGATATATTCATACATCTTCTTTTATTTTGTGTTTGTTTGCGAATGAACAAATCTCTTATTTTTCAGTTTGATTCCATGTTCAATCCCTTTTGGTTTCGAATCTTGCCGTCCATGTCTTTGGACAGGTGAAGGCAGTTGAAAAGAAATTGCACGATCTAATGGACGAACCTATTGCCACCAGACGGAAGCTCTTCAAGGACGGGGCCTTGTGATGTCCTGGAGTCCTGCCCAGTTTTTTCCAGAACTATTTACAGCATTTTCTGGTGGTTTAGATCTAATGATCGCTCACAGGCTTGGTCTGCCAATGGCTTTCGTGAAATGTCTTATGCCACGACCTGACCTGTGCAAGCAGGAGCTTCTGGTGGAGTATCACCCCGACAAGAATTCTTCTCCGCATGCCAAAGAAGTTTTTCAGCAGCTTGGAGTGGACCCTCCCGTTCTGTCCCAACCTGGGACCATCACATCCGAACAACAGAACCAACTAGACTCTGCAGCAGACCTGCAAAACTTTGATTTGTTGAACAACATCGGCAACACACAATTTCTATGTGTTTGCAATTCACGGGCGTTTTGCTCAGGTATGTGAACAATGCTCGAAGCTGGTTCCTGGTTGAGACCTGAGAAGGCGGACAGTTAGACCGACCTGTTGAAGTGGCTTGCTATACTGGACGTCCGTCGGAAGCATTTCAAAGGTAGATTCTCAACAAAAGAATCGCTTTTCAAGGGGCAAATGCTGATTTTGTTCCAACCAGGACACCTGTGACATTTTCCGGTCACAGGATGTGGCCATTGTCCATGTTTCACCCTATCTCTACAGGAGAAGAAACCAAGAGATTGCCATGCCTGACACTTCACATGTATTTCTCCCTGTCTGCAAATGCGCAGATAAATTGGTGTTTTCTAACAACTCCATTTGCAATCTCAACCCAACTGGAGAGGGTGTTTGAGATCAAGCGTGGCGATGCCCTCCTGCCACTGGCTGACTGCCATGGTAAGCGTCGCAAGGAGGAACCGCAAAAAGGCTCGACTGCTTGCTTGTTTTTTTGTCTCAGATGCATGTTGGCCTTTGAAGAGATGGAATGCCCTGAACGGGCTCTGAGATTCAGATAGATTCAGCGGTTGTGTTTTGGGATTCCTGCGACCTCTCGGTTCTCAGTAGGAGTTTCGCGACCTCGGCCCGTTTGGCCATTTTGCCATGGCATAAATCGTTGGCGTCAATAAAGAAGTTGAGGCGGCGTCACTTCACAGTATGTAGTCAGGAGTGATGTAATGTTTTCGTTGAGCATCGTAGCAAGGACTAACACCAACTGACAAAGACTGTAGTGCTATCCTCAGTGCTATTGGCAAAGCCTTTGGCCTGATAAAGGCCATAGGTCTCGTTGAGACACTCGTACTGCTCCTTTTTCACAGAAGGCTGAAGCCTGTGCCAGAAACCAGTCTACTAAGAGTAGCGAAATCGCGTCGGAATCACGATGTTCCGTCTAAAAGCGTGCTCCGATGTTCCAAGGTCGACCGCTCCAAGGTCGAACGCTCGTCATGGTTGGATGCACAGCCGGTTCGTCGAAAACAACGTCGCTGCACCGGTCGTTTCTACTCGTCGTTGCTTCGACCAACGAACGTCCCGGTTGCTGTGCACTGCGCACGACCAAGGCGGCAAGGCCTCGTGAGCTAAAGCGCTTAGAGAAAGAGTTGCAGGCCGAGTGAGATGGGTGGATATGGGTGGTAGAGGTGACGTACGAGTCTGGGTGCCGAGGTGACGAAGCAACACATCTGAAACCATTTAGTTGTCACACGGTAGATTACTATATATTATATACTTGGGTTGTAATATATGGTGCCAAAGAGACGTCCCAAATTTAAGTCCCAAGGAATCCCAAGGGCAACAAATGGGAAAGGCGAATCACCTTCTGCTTTCAATCCACTCTATGAATGAGTCTGGTTCAAGCATGTCAGCGATATGATACTTGTTCCATATAAAGTGGTTTCTGTGCTTGGTGCCATACCAGGATATTCGCGCTCTTGCGAAAGATGGGAAGGAGGCTCAGGTATCAGCAGATTCTGTTGGAGCCTCGTACTTTGCACCGGATATTCAGAAGCAGATTGAAGATGCAAAACACGGACTTCACTTCCAACCAACCAACTCGCGCTCCGTGTCCGTCCCTCCCAGCCCTTCCATGGGGTACTCGAGGGTTTGCATGTTCATGTACAAAAAGACAAGACATAACGTGCAACCGCAAAAAAGAGCCCACCGGAATAAGCCACTGCTGTAAACTCCCTCTCAATTACCCTACGAAAGCAGCGCATTCAATCTAGGGATTGCAAGAATTCAAGAGTCGAAGGCCAGGGTTGTCAAATCTGCTTCGATGCGTATGCATTTCTTTACCCGCTGGTCAAGATTGTGACGAAAAGGAACAGAAAGTCATTATCGGAATCGTTTGTGACAAGTGCACAATCCAATTTTGGTTGACATACACAAATATTAAACGGATACGACTGTCTAGGCATAGAAGAGTAGTTTGCGAGTAGCGTGCTGCTATTCCTCGTAATCTTCGATGAACATACGGACTGCACTTCTTTAGTCAAGACCAACAAAAACTAACGAACACTATCCAAGACTGGCTGTTTTCGGGCGCTCGGTCACCTGAGCTCGGTCTGACGTGAGGTTGAGAATGACCTCACACATTGGAAGGCTTGGCTGAAGGGTCCGGAAGGGACACCGTCCTGTCCTCAGAAGGGACGCCGAAACCCTCGAGTCGATGCGCATGATGGAGTCGATCGAGAATCGACATCGAGATGTCAAGGTATCATGGTGGACTCTTTGACATTGACATTGAGATTCCTGCGGAATATCCGTGCATTTCCAAGTGAGGTGTAAGCGGTGCATTGTGCAGTTTGAACCCTTGGACTTGTTTGACTTGCTTCGTTATACTCTCTCTCGAGGTACAACCCTCCAAAGATGAAGTTTGACACCAAGATTTGGCATCCCAACATCTCATCGCAGGTTGGTTGGCAACCCTGGCCTTTGCGCGGCTGTGCATCATATGTACTGTGATGACTGTGTTGCACAGCTTTGCTGGGAATGTCTGCGGCTGCACCTATCTCGGCTTTTTTCAGCTTTTGCATGGGAGTTGTCAACACAAAGGCCACACTTTGAGCAACAATGAAATGCCGCCTTCACCAGTGTGGAACAGTTGCCGCCGCCACACTGAATAAGTATCAGTACGGGCAGTACGGGTTCAACAGCAGGCAATGAGCATATTATGAGCTTGCAAGCATACCACTTGTGAAGACAGCACTTGATGCTTGCAAGCAGGCCAACTGAGTATGCTTCATGGTTTGTTTGCTCTAGGGGAGACAGGTCATCTCACTTGATTCATGTGCGTTTCCTTCCAGCCAAACCACTTGGCTTGGAATGGCCCTGGCAACGTTCGATGGCGAATTTAGCTTTTCTCAGGACCAGAAGAAGCACCACAAGTGATGCAAGCTTTAGCACTCATTGCACCATAAGCGGCCACGAGATTCCTTATTTCAGTTCGCAAAGAGCACTCCATTTCAATTGGCGAGTCATGAGAAGCTGATGAGTCTGAGCTGAGTCTGATGAGACGGAAGGCCAAAATTGGCCAAAAGGACCAGCTCCATCTTTATGGCCTTACTACTAGGAACAAGGACGCTACTAGGGGCTCCTGGCATCGCTACTAGGAACGAGGACGCTACTGGGTTTTCTTTCGGCATCCCAGGAGACAGTAGCTCGCCTGGGGGACCGGGCAGGAACTTCGAAGCTTACTGAGGAGAGTGACGGGAGGTGATGGGATGTGATGGGAGGTGATGGTGATCCTGTTATTGGCCATCCCAAAAGAGGCAATGCACATTCTATCACCGTACAAATTAGATTTTGATTAGCACTTGGAAATAAGCATTTGGCCAGAAATAAAGATGGTGAGACCAGCCTTTTGAAGAACCATCTAAACAGCAGACATCCTTTTAAACATACTCTAGGGGTACAGACGTTTTCGTGGGAAATGTCTTCTAGGCCCTAGGACTGATGACATATGTTCGAACTCATCCATTGTCAGTTCTTCCTGCTCATGACTATACACTGACGACAGAAGACGTTGAAGCGGAAGGAATACCTTTCACTACACACACACACATACCAAGCCTTGGCTTACACCAGGAGCAGCAGTTTCAGCCTAAGTTCTTCCCCACGGCCGTAGCAGTGCTGATTTGCCAGCTCCAAGGCGACAGTTGAAGCAGAGCAAAGCCTTCCAGGCATGGGGTGAAGCGGAGCAAAGCCACGGATCTATGGTAATCTGAGTATCCTAACATTAATCCCGGACAGATGATATATTATAAGGACGTATCAAATTCATGAGATGGAGTTTGACTCTCAAACTTGAAAAGCTCTTGAGATGTGACTTTTGGGTAGTCACCATGGCTGAAAGAAGCTCTCAAACTTTGAGGCCCAAGTTCGAGTCGATGAGCTCCTGAAGGAATACTCCGAAGAACGGGCTCGGGGGCTCGTTGACGCACGACGTTGCAGACACAAATTGTTGTCACTTTGTTGGTGAAGCACCTTGAAAGAGCACCATGAAAAAGCACCAAAGCACTGGTTCAATGTCCCGGACTTATGATATTTATGGTTCTTAGTTCTTAATTAAGTGAACAGCTCAGGACAAAAAGCGTGCTGCTCTGGATCAGGCCTTTACTCCAGATGAGGCAAGCAGGAAGCTGGGTATTTCGCCAGTGGAAATAACAGGAACATACTATAAACATACTGATCCAATCCAATTATACAAAAAATCAAGCCAGCCACTGGGGTCCTCACTGGTCCCTGCATCTCAACCTGATTGAGAGATTCATCATCCTTCTCTTGAGTAGTGCTACTTCCAGGTCGATTTCTCCGCATCCAAAGCCTTCGACTATGACCGATCTGTGAACTACTATGAGGCCCAGATCGATCGATTTGGGGGTTGACCCTTGAAACCATCAGCTGCAGCTTGTGAATGCTCGTGAATCAGTCGCTGCCTTTAGTGTGCAGGTCTTAGGTATTGACGAATACGAGCCTTTGGACGAAGTGAATCGCGCTTACAAGCGGCTCTCCCTCGTCTATCATCCTGACAAGACGAAGGGAATGTCCTCACAGCAGCAGCAGGAATGTCCTATTCAATGCTTTCAGCTGACTGAGTGCAGATTGAGACCACAAGCAGCATCAAGCAGCCATCCTTGCCTCCCATCTAAGTTGATGCAGGACTACGAGACCATTTTCATCTCGGTGAAGAATGCCCATCTTGTCCTAGGAACGCACTTGCGTCGTTTTTGTGAGATGGTTTCCATCTGTCGAAGCACCATGGGAATCAAGTCGGGCACGACCCCCCCCGAGCTGTTTGGCAAACGAGCCAAAACGAGCCAACGCGACCCGGGTCCGCGAAGCGGACCACCGTTCGGACCGTCGAATCGGAGGCGACCAGGCCACCCGACGGCAGTACGACAAGGACAAGTCGAGTCAAAACAAAGAACACCGCAGATCTCGGAGTTCAAAGATGTTCCAAATTAATGTGTGTGTGTTTTTTTTTTTTTTAAGGGGAGGTAGGCCGCTAGTAGAGGTGACGTAGCTAGCTAGAGGTAGCTAGTAGAAGCTAGGTAGCTAGTGGCTACAAGTAAGCTGCTAGAATGGACCTTCAAGGAAGCTCCCCCCCACAGCCTTTAGGGCGGCGGGGAAGCTTCCTTGAAGAAGCGCTCGCACGAATGATTTGGTTTCTAGATTTTTAGGGAAGCTTGCAACCACCCTGTCAAACTGTGAAGGACCGAGATCATGATCGAGCAAAAGAGCTAGTCAGTGGCGTTAAGGCAGTGAGCCGAATCTAAAGTAGGTTGGGGGCTATCGCTTTTACGTTGAAGGCCATCGCCAGCAGGTTGGAGGCCATCGCTAGTAGGTTGGAGGCCATCGCTATTACATTGGAGGCCATTGCTCTTAG